AATATTTTGTTTAGAGACAGGGTCTCACTGAGTTGCTTAGTGCCTTGCTAAGTTGCTGAGGCTGGCTTTGAACTTGCAATCTTTTTGCCTCAGCCTCCAGAGCCACTGGGATTGCAGGCGTGCACCACCATGCCCAGCTTCTAACAAATTTTTGATCTTGTGAACAGAATCAAATAGGGGGTAGGCTCWTCAGGCATTGTGCTAAAGTTTGGATCTTCAGTGTCCTCAAAGGCCCATGTGATAAATGCTAAGTCATCAGCTTTGTGATTTTGGGAGGTGGTAGAAACCTTTAAGAGGGGGATCCTAGAAGGAAGTTCTAGTTCACTGGGAAGCATGCCCTCAAAGGGAATTACAGGATATGTCTCTTCTTCTCTCTCATATCTGGCCATGAGGCAAACAGGCCTACCTTTCCATGCCCTCCTGCCATGATGTACTGGCCCCTCCAGGCCCACAGCAACAGGGCTAATTCATCATAGACAGAAACCTCCCAAACTTGAAGCCAAAATAAACCTTTCCTCTTTTTCAAATTGACCTCTCTTTGGTATTTATTTCAAGAATGGAAAGATAATGAATACACTTTGGCAATGGGCTTGGGGAAAAACAAGAATATACCACTGCTGAGCAGGTTAGCAGGTGTCTCTTAGTYCAGTCTCTCTGTCTCCAGCACTTGAGTCACACTTGAACTGGGATGTGGCTGGATGTACTATGTGTTGTACTCTCTTCTGTTACTCTCTTGTTCTATGAGGTGAGTGTAGGAATATCTTGTATGGTTCAGAGACAGATGTACCCTGGCACAAGGCAGTCTGAGCACAGCTGACAGCTGCTCAGAACCTGGAGAAGTTAGGGTCCACCAGTGTGAAATTGAGTTTGATGATAGTTCCTCCCATTGAAAAACAGGGGGAAATGCCATTGACCTGCAGTGGAGAAAAAAACAAACAAACAAATGCAGACTCAGTTTCTCCTGCTATACATTTGCAAAAAAGGTCACTTCTTTGACTTCAGAAAGATTTYTCCCCACCAGCAAGCAAGCAATCCACCAGCTGAGTGGCCTCAGATTCAATTCCAGCACTACTTGGAGATAGTGTCAGATATCACAGGTTAAGAGATCAGTCCCCAAGACTGCCCTCAACACAAGTCAGTTGCCAATTGCAAGACCCAGATTGTATTACCTGGGCTTCTAATCAACTGGCTGTAAATCCTGGTTCCCACAATTCCCTTCTCTGGTTCAATTAATATGCTAGAGGGGCTCAGTGAACTCAGGGAAACACTTATCATTTAATGGTTTATTATAAAGAATAACACAAAGGATACAGATGAAGAGATGCATACGGTCAGGCATGGGGGAAGGGACACACCATTGCCAGGAACCTTCACTTTTCCTATCTGGAAGTTCTCTGAACCCTGTCCCTCTGGGTTTCTATGGAGTCTCCATCAAACAGATACAATTAATTAAATCATCAGGGATAGGTGACCCATTTAATCTTCAGTCCCCCTTCCCTTCCCAGTGTTCAGGCTCAGGACTGAAGGTCTTAACCATTTAACCCTGCCTTGGTCTTTGGGTCATTTGGGTGATAAAGCTACTTTTGTTGCCAGCCACCAAGTCATAAGCATAGAATAAAGGAAAAAAAAACTATCTGATTCCGAGATCCCCAGGATTTTAGTAGTTATATGCCAGAAATCAGAGATAGAGATCAAATATATATTTTACAATATCACACCTGAAATCCAGATTGAACCTGCTCATACATCGGATACACCTTACTTTTTGGTCTTCACAGGGCTTAATAGAGATCCCTAAATCTTTTTTTTTTTTTTTAACTGGGAATTGAACCCAGGGTGATATACCATTGAGCTACATCCCTAGCCTATTTTTATTTTTGATTCTGAGACTCCTTGTTTCAGAATCCAAAACATGCCAAGGATGGCCTCCTTGCTACAGTCTTCCTGCTTCAGCCTCCCAAATTGCTGGGATTATAGGTGTATGCCATGGTGTCCAGTGAGATCCCTAAATCATGAAGCCTTTAAATACCTTTCTTTGGATGCCCATTTGATATTCAAGGGAGCCAAGAAAAAGGGTGAGATCCAATAACAACCTCAAGGATTATGAAACAAGACTGTTTTATCTATTCCTTAGCTTATGTTAACTTAGGTTTCTTTACAAGATGGAAAGATCTACCTTGGATAGGCAGAATTAATATCATCAAAATAACCATACTACCAAAATCACTATACAGATTTAATGTAATTCCCATCAAAATCCCAATGGCATTCCTCATAGAAATAGAAAAATCAATCATGAAATTCATCTGGAAAAATAAGAGACTCAGAATAGCTAAAGCAATCATTGGCAGGAAGAGTGAAGCAAGTGGCATCACTATACCAGACCTCTAACTATACTACAGAGCAATAGTAACAAAAAGCAGCATAGTATTGGCACCAAAACAGACTGGTAGACCAATAGTACAGAATAGAGGACACAGAGACTAACCCACAAAATTACCTTAATTAGACAAGGGTGCCAAGAACATGCACTGGAGAAAAGATAGCCTCTTCAACAAACGGTGCTTGGAAAACTGGAAATCCATATGCAACAAAAATGAAATTAAACTCCTATCTCTCACCATGTATAAAACTCAATTCCAAATGGATCAAGGACTAGGAATACAACAAGAGACCCTGTGTCTAATAGAAGAAAAAATAGGCCCTAATCTCCATCATGGGAACCCTTTTTTGAACTCAGGGGCATCAGCCACTGAGCCATATCCCCAACCCTATTTTGTATTTTATTTAGAGACAGGGTCTTACTGTTGCCAAGTGAGTTGCTTCACACCTCTCTTTTTGCTGAGGCCACCTTTGAACTCTTGATCTTCCTGCCTCAATCTCCCAAACCACTGGGATTACAGGTATGCCCCACCAYGCCCACTTAATGGGAGGACATTTTTTGATGACTGGAATGCAAGCCCTTTTGCCAAAGAAAATCACACAGGTATGCCTCATATGGTATGGGGTGGTTTTAATGGTATCTATTATAAGAGATCTCTATAAGCAATTGTTCCTACTATCTAATGTCAGAAAGAATGACTCAAGTGTCAATTATTGCTTTCCCTGGACATTGACCAGAATTAAAAACTCCATGCAGCAGGTCAAGTTATGCAGGTGGTTGGCTGTCCCTTCTGCAGCTAATTCCCTCTGGCAGGCACATCAGGAAATTGTGATGCTCAGAATGAAATGTTTCATAGCATTATGGGGCTTTCTGCAGCTGAGTGGCAAAATTGAAGATACTGGCTCTGAAAATATTTCAGGCTAAACTTATTTCTACCAGATTCTGCCTAAGCACAATTTGCTAGGAGAATGAGTGGCACTCATTTCTGCAGATTTGTGTGTTTCTTCAGGGATCTAAACCAGTTACTAGAGTGAAGGCAAAATATTTCTTGAAGGAAAATTCTAGCCCTTGTCCAGGTATTCTGTAGTTTACCTTTCTTCAGAGCAGAGGGTTTTGGGAAGTTTATAGTAGTAGACAGGTTTCTTAATTTGCCTATCAGAATGTTAGTCTTGCCACTTGCTTGCTTGTTATGAATACAACAAGATGTATCTATTTTCTATCAATCAGCAATATTAAATTCTATCATGAATGAACTCAGGGCCCTGCAAAGTGGGAGGCAAATGCTCTACCACTGAGCTACATCCCTAGGACTTTTTCTTTTCTTTTTCTTTTTTCTTTTTTTCTTTTTGTAGTTGTAGGTGGACAGAATGCCTTTATTTTATTTGTCTATTTTTATGTGGTGATGAAGATCAAACCTAGTGCCTTGCACATGCTAGGCAAGTGCTCTGCCTCTAAGCTACAGCTAAAGCACACTCCCCCCTTTTTTTTCTTCTAAGGCTTTGAAACATTTATTTAATATCCTAAATAATCAATCATGGATTATGTCATAATTATAACTGGATAATCTTATATTTCCTCAGAAAAACACAGCACTATTCAGGGACTCTAATGCCCTAGGGAGAAATTTAATCTTTGGTCATAATATTAGCTCCTGGTTTCATAGCCCCATAAACCTTCTTTGAAATGACCTAACATCTACTTTTTGTGAATTTTAAGATCTGTTTATTTATTGCATTCATCACCATAAATCTATATATTTATGTGACATTAGCTTAGCTCTCTTTCCAGAATCCCTATCACCGAGTTTATTATTWAGAGAGTATAAGGACTAGATTGCTATAAAACTATTGAAAATAGTAATTCAAATATTGCCTAATGTTTCCTATATAAGGCATCATATGAGAGGTTTATTTTATTTTAGAATTTAGTATTAGGGGAAAAAATTCTGCTCAAAAATCGATCTCCTTATTTCCTATTCCACAAGTTATATAATATATTGTATTCTGGTCAGCAGGGATAGAATTGCTAATCACTCACAGTTACCATATATTTCTTTATACTTTTATTTTATTTATTTATTTTTATGTGGTGCTGAGGACCCAGCGCCTCGAATGTGCTAGGCAAGTGCTCTACCGCTGAGCCCCAGCCCCAGCCCTCGTAGTTACCATATTAACCTTGGGGGATAGAGTATACATATATGCTTTCTTAATTCTTTTTCTTTTCTTCTTTTAAATAATTAATTAGTTTTGTTTTGTTTTTGTACTAATGGAAACTATTACTGGGCTACCCACCCTGCCCTTTTTTGATATTTTATTTTGAGACAGGGTCTTATTAAGTCTCCTAGGCCTATCTCAAATTGTGATGCTCCTGCTTCAGACTCCCAATATGCTGGGATTATAGGTCTGAGCCACCACACCAAACTTTGGTATTATATTTAGCCTCAATAAATGTATTATATACAAGTCTTTTGTTGATACAAATTATTTTATGGGAATAAGCATATAAAAGCCAAATTACAGGGTCAGAGGACACAAATATTTATAAGATTCTKTGAAATATGTGGCCTAATTTCTTTCCTGAAATACTGTACTGATTAGTAATTTTACCATCACTCTATGTGAATTCTTATTTCTTAGAATTTTGACAACATGAGGGCTGAGATTGTGGCTCAGTGGTTGAGCGCTTGCCTAGCACATGGGTTTAGTTCTTAGCACCACATAAAAATAAATAAATGAAGGTATTGTGTCTATCTACAACTTGAAACAGTCTATTAGTTTTAAAAGAAGAATATTGACAATATGGTATATTGGCATTTACTAATATATATGCCAATTTGGGAGACAAAATTTTATATCATCATCATCATTATTATTCTCATCATCATCATCATTGGTACTAGGGATTTAATCCAGGGTTGTTTTTAACCACTGTGTTATATCCCCAGTCCTCCCCTTTTTATCATCTGTAAATTTTTAAATTTTGAGATAGGGGCTTGCTTAGTTGCTTTAGCCTGGCCTTGAACTTGTGATCTTCCGTCTCAGCCTCCCAATTTGCCAGGATTACAAACTGTGTCCTGCAAAATGGTATATTATTTTAATTTGCATTTCTTTGATTATTGCTGAGACTAAGCTTTTTTTTCTTCATGTTTATTGACTACTTTGAGTCACAATTACTAGTTCCTAAAGTTTCTTCATGTTAAGGAAAAAACCATGAATGGGTGGAAGATTGGGCTGGTGGAAGGGTGCAGGCCTGTAATCYAGCTACTGAGAAGTTGAGGCAGAAAAATCTCATGTTGGAGAGACCTGTCTCAGAATTTAAAATAAAAAGGGTTGGGGATGTAGCTCAGTAGTAGAGGGATTTCTTAGCATATATGATTTCTTAGCATATATATCCCTGGGATTCAACTTAGTGGCCCCAGACTTGTTTTTCTTTCTTTCTTTTTAAAATATTTATTTTTTAGTGGTAGTTGGACACAATACCTTTATTTTATTTATTTATTTTTAGATAGTGTTAGGATCAAACCCAGGACCTTGCATATGCTAGGTGAGCTCTCTACTGCTGAGCCACAACCACAGTCCCCTTTTTTTCTTTCTTGTACTAGGGGATTGAACCCAGGGCCTTGTACATGCTAGACAAGCCCTCAACCACTGATCTACATCCCCAGCCCCCAGCCCTTATTACATTTTATTTTGAGATATAGTCTCTCTAAGTTGCTGAAGCTTGCCTCAAACATGCTATCCCCCTGCCTCAGCCTTAGGAGTAGCTGAGATTACATATGTGTGCCCCGATGCTTAGCCTAAGGCTTGTTTTTTCTTTTTTTTTTTTAATTTTTTTAAGAGAGAGTGAGAAAGGAGAGAGAGAGAGAGGGAGAGAGAGAGAGATAGAGAGAGAGAGAGAATTTTTTTTAATATTTATTTTTTAGTTTTCGGTGGACACAACATCTTTGTTTGTATGTGGTGCTGAGGATGGAACCCGGGCCACACGCATGCCAGGCGAACGTGCTACCGCTTGAGCCACATCCCCAGCCCTTTTTTTAAATTAAAAACATTTTAAAGACCTTTTCTTATTGATGCAAAATGGTTTTTTAAAAATTCTAAAAATATTTTTGACTATTCATAGTCCATGCAGAGTTACAACCCTACCCTTCAATAATACACTGACAATTCCTAAAGGAAACCACTTTTAAAAAGGCATAACCTAGATACTTCCTTATTTGTCCAACTCCATCTAAGTTTAGATGTGTAGAAAGGCCTAGATATATCCAGAGTAACCCCCATACAACATATTACTTGATCATTTTTCCCCCTTTTTTGGTGCTACAGATTGAACCCAGGGCATTGCAAGTGCTAAGCATGTCTTCTGCCACTGAGTATAATACCAGCCTGATCTGCTTTCTAAAATAAGGTTTTAGAACAATGCCATTAAGATAAGGCAAGAAGCATGGAGGGATGAAGTTCTAATTACTATACTTGCACATATTTTCCACAAGGACTARGGGGAAACATTTAACAGATGAATTAGAAAGAAAAGGTGGATAAACATGTTTGTATGAGAATTTTAATACATTCTGGACAGTGTCATCCTGTTGCTGTCATAAATGATACAAACTCGGTAGCTTACTTGACCATCACCATCAGTATCTGCTTCATTAATGATTTTATCAACCTCTTTATCTAATTTCCCTCCAAGATTTGTATCACATGGCAAAACTCTGCTGCAGTAACGTAGCCATTGCCATCCTTATCAAACACCTGGAATGCTTCTCCAATTTCTTCTTTATTGTATCTTTCATTTTTCTTGCCATTATTGTCAGAAATTTAGGAAAGTTAGTTGTGCCATTTCAATCAGCATTTATTTCATTAATTATGTCCTATAACTGTTTTCGTGGGATTTTGCTCAAGAGATCTGATTACAGTTACCAATTCTGTTGTTAGAATTCCATTGATATCCTTATCAAATAGTGAAAAAGTGCCTTTGAAGTCTGTGATCTGCTCTAGTCAGTTGGTCAGCCATGTGGCAAGCTCTACCAATTTCTAAGATTCAACCACACAACTACTCAGCTGGCTTGCTCCATTTGGATTCTAAAAATGTATTTTAACCAGGAAAGTCTGCCGTTTACAATAGCATGGATGAACCTAGAGGACATTATACAAAACAAAATAAGGCAGGTACAGGGAAACAAAGACTATCATGGGGCTGGGTGTGGCTCAGTGTTGTAAAGAGCTTGTATAGCAAGAGCTGGGTTCAATTCCTAGCACTACCAAAACCAAAACAAAACAACCCCCCATCCCCCCACCCCGGCAACTCAAACCTATAGATCTCACTTCTTTATGGACTTAAAAAAAAATAACTCTGAGGTACAGAGTAGAAAATGTTTTTATCAGAAGCTGGGGGAGACAGAGTGGACAGGAGATAGAATTAATTAGAAGGAATAAGTTCTGGTGTCCCATTGCATGGCAAGGTGATTATAGTTCCTGGCCTGTGTGAGGCACTGGGTTCGATTCTTAGCACCACATGTAAATAAATAAAATAAAGTTCCATTGACAACTAAAAAAATATTAAAAAAAAAAAAGAATTTGAGACCAGCCTGGGTAATGTAGTAATACCCCTCACTCAAAATAACAAACAACATGAAGAACGTAAAGAAATGATAAGTACTAAAATTGATAGATAGGCTAATATCCTGATTTGGTCATTCCATAATGTGCACATGTACTGAAAAACACATTGTGCTCCACAAGTATACATAATTATTATTTGTCAATTAAAAATCAAAGAAAATTTGCAAATATGTGGCTTTTCATCTTTCTGGTTTTCAGTTTCTTTCCTAATTGCATTGTTATCTGATAATAAAATCTGCTTTCAAGTTGTCCTGTTTGATCTTTTATCTGTGAATACTTTACCCTGACAAAGTCATCTTTTTAATTTTTCCTTTGTTTTTGATCTTCAAATGCATTTTTGTCTAATCTAAATCTTTTTTCCCCTTTGGCATATGAATAAATGCTCATATCATTAATTATCAGGGAAATGCAAATCAAAATACAATGAGGGTTGGGGATGTATCCCCATTCAAGGCCCTTGGATCCATCCCCAGCATAGCAAAAACAAAACAACAACAACAAAAAAACTAACCACAATGAGATGTTGCAACTGCTATTATCAAAAAGATGAAAGAAGACCAGCACTATAGTACATGCCTATACCCAAGGTACTCAGCAGGCTGAGGCAGGAGGATTCCCAAGTTTGTGGCCAGCCTGGGCAATGTATGAGACTCAAAAGAATTGAAAGCAGGGGCTCAAACAAATCTTTCTACACTCACGTTCATTAGCAGCATTACTTACAACTGCCAAAAGGTGGAGAAGCACCCAAGTTTCCATCAAAAAAGAAAGGACAAACAAATTGAAATAAATATATACAATAGAATGTTTTTCAGTCTTAAAAGGAAAGGAAGTTCTGGTGTATGCCATGACATGGATGAACCTTGAGGACATTGTGCTAAGTAAAATAAATCTTTAAAAAGGGACTGCCGCAGTCCGGCTGCAGCAAAATAACCGTGGGGTGACGAACAACGTGTGTAGATTGATACAGCAGGAGAGGGAGCCATTTATTGTAGGACAACAGAGGTATTTATACATTCCACACCGCTTATCTAATTAACATAAACTCGATACAGCAGTCAACCAATAAGGA